AGGGCTAGGCCACCCGTGAACCCCCTCTGAGGTTCCGGACTCTGAACCCTTACCCGAGTTGCTCCCTTTCCCCGGGATGGTTTGTTGCTGGCTGCCTGCCCTGCTGACTTCAGGATTGCCTAGCCAACAGCCACAGTTGGGTGAGCCAATAAGCTAATTCCTTGTGATAAATCAATGTCCATATTTTATCAATGTTATATTATGTCAGTATTATATATATTTAGGCCAGGAGTGGTGGTTCATGCCTATAATCCTAGCACTTACGGAGGCTGAGATGGGAGGATTCCTGGAGCCCAGGAGTGTGAGATTACAGTGAGCTATGATTGCACCACTCCACTCCACCCTGGGCAACAGGGTGAGACCCTGTCTAAAAAAAGAAAAAAATTTGGGAGGCTGGGGTGTAAAAAATAAAGAAAAAAGAAAAAAATTTATAAAATTTATAAAGATATATCAATGTATATTTATAAAGTTATATGTTTATAATATATATAAAAATTTATATAGCTATATATTATATTTAAACATAAATAATCCATATATCTGTATAAATTTTATATATAAATATAAACATATAATTGTATATTGATATATCTGTACATTTTATATATTTATAAACTATAATATAGTATACAAATGTGTTTGTAAAATATACAACATATATATGTGTGTGATATATATGTATAGGCCGGGTGCAGTGGCTCACACCCGTAATCCTGGCACTTTGGGAGGCTGAGGCAGGCAGATCGCTTGAGCCCAGGGGTTAAAGGAACCCCATGTTGCCCCATGTTTCGTTTTGGTATCTCCCTATCTGTCTGTCTGTCTGTCCTTCTGCCTTAATCTACTGATTCTGCTTTTCTGGTTGAACCCTGACTGATACAATGTTCCTCTTATACCTGTTGCTTAGCAGATGCTACAATTCCACCTCTTGAAAAGATTCTCCCCTTTTGATCTCTCCTCTGAGTGCCCGTGGGTTCATCTGAGCCCCACGTCTTCTTGCCTGGATTACTGGGGTTCCCTTCCAGCTGGTCTCCCTGCATCCTGTGAGGTGCGGCCACACCCTGTTTATTCTCACGACTACCCAGTTTGTTCTTGGTAAACTACATGTTTGATCTTGTCTCTTTTCTTCTTAAAATCTTTCAATGATTTCCTGAAGTTTTCAGGCAAAAATGTAAAAGCCTCAGCTTTTTTTGTATGACTCCATTTTCTCTCCTCTCCTAGCATATCAATTACACTTCTTTTGAAAACCTTTTTAGTGGTTACCCTGGAGTTTGCAATATACATTTATGACTAATCCAAATCCACTTTCAAATAATACTATACCACTGCATGGAGTCTGCAAGTACCTTAGAATGGAGTCCTCCCAATTCCCCCCTTCTGTCCTTGATATTACTGTGTCATGTTATTTCTCTGATCCATAAACTATAATCACCAAATACATTGTTGCTATTATTAATTTAAACAAGTGTGTCTGTTTGTTAACTGTTAACAAGTCAGAATAAGACAAAGATTTTTATTTATTTATTTATGTTTGTTTATTGTTTTTTTTTTTTTTCGGAGACAGGGTCTCACTCTGTCGTCCAGGCTAGAGTGCAGTGGCACGATCATAGCTCACTGCAGGCTTAGCCTTAGCTTCCCAGGCTCAAGCAATACCCCCACCTCAGCCTCCCAAGTAGCTGGGAACACAAGCACATGCCACCATGCCTGGCTATCTTTTTTTCTTTTTTAATTTGTGTAGAGACAGCGTTTCACTCTGTTGCCCAGACTGGTCTCAAACTCCTAGGCTCAAGCGATCCTCCTTCCTTGGCCTGCCAAAATGCCGGGATTATAGGTATGAACCATTGCACCTGACTAGGTTATTTCATCACCCAGGTACTAAGTTTAGTACCCATTAGTTATTTTTTCTTGTAAGTCAGGTGTGCCAGTGACAAATGTCCTCAGTTTTGTTTGTCCAAGAAAGTTTATTTACTTCTTTATTTTATTTTATTTTTTGTAGACAGGGTCTTTCTCTGTCACCCAGGCTAGAGTGCAGTGGTTCAATCTCAGCTCACTGCAACCTCTGCCTCCTGGGCTCAAGCATTCCACCCACATCAGCCTCCACAGTAGCTGGGACTACAGGTGTGCACCACCTCGCCCAGCTAATTTTTCTGTTTTCTGGTAGAAAAAAATATAAAATGGGGTTTCACCATGTTGGCCAAGCTGGTCTTGAACTCTTGACCTCAGGTGGTCTTCCTGCTTCGGCCTCCCAAAGTGCTGAGATTACAGATGTGAGCCACCACACCAGCCAACCAGAAATGTTTTAAGGGATATAAAGCAGTTAGTACTTGAGATGGTTCTTCTATGAGATATGGGATAGGTGGAAATGGGTAAAGACTGACAGAATCAGATGGTATGCATCCCCAAATAGTAATTCTAACGATCCAGGAAGACCAGTCAACATTCCCACACCATCCCTACCACCGTGGACTCAGTGTTCCTCAATGAGAGACAGAATTTGTGGGTGGAGGATCTGAGTCCAAGCCCTTATATTAGAATAATTGCATTAATATTATTTGTTTCTTTAACTGTAGGTTCAGGGGTATATGTGCAAGTTTGTTACATAGGTAAACTTGTGTACAGATTATTTCATCACCCAGGTACTAAGTTTAGTACCCATTAGTTATTTTTTCTGATCCTCTCCCTCCTCCCACCCTCCACCCTCAAGTAAGCCCCAGTGTCTGTTCCTCCCCTCTTTGTGTCCATGTGTTCTCATCATTTAGCTCCCACTTATAAGTGAGAACATGTGATATTTGGTTTTCTGTTCCTGGATTAGTTTTCAAAGGATAATGGCCTCCAGCTTCATCCATGTCCCTGCAAAGGACGGGATCTCATTCTTTTTCATGGCTGCATAGTATTCCACAGTGTACATGTACCACATTTTCTTTATCCAATCTGCCATGGATGTGCCTTTAGCATTTGGACAGTTTCTGTTGACACATGTTCAAGCTCACTAATGCTTTCCCTGGCCATGTCCAGTCTACTGATGAATCTATCCAAGGCTTTCCTCATCTCTGTTACAGTATTTTTGATTTCCAATATCTCCTTTTGATTCTTAAAAGTTTCCATCACTGCTTACGTTATTCGCCTGTTCTTGTATGTTGCCCACTTTCCCTTCAGAGTCCTTAGCATATTAACCATAGTTTTAAAAATTTATTTATTTTAACCATAATTATTTTAAATTCCTGGTCTGATAAGTCCAAAATCTCATATATAAGTCTGGTTCTGATGCTTGGCCTGTTTCTTCAAACTGTTTTTTCCTTTTTCTTTTTAGTATGCCTTGTAATTTTTCACTGAAAGCTGGACATGATATACCGTTGAGAGGAACTGAGGGATGAGGTTTTGTTTATCTGGCCAGGAGTTAGGCTGTGTTTACTGTTTGCTGTAGCTATAGGTATAAAGGCTAAATTTTCCTCTGGTGTCTTTGTTCTTGTCTCCTCTGCTGTCTATGGGTCTCTAGAGACTTTTTAAATAGGGCCTAAGACTTGTTCCTTTTTTTGTTACAATCCTTGTAATGATACAGGTGCCCTGCTGGTACAGTGGTGAGGTGAGGGAATGGAGGGATCTATAGTTCTGTGATGAGGTCTCAGTCTCCTGGTGACCCGGTGGCCCTGAACCTTCACAAGAGCTTCTCAGCCTCCCCTTGTCCTCTTGAGGTGAGGCAGGAAGGCAAGAGGTGGCTGGAGTTCCCTTCTCCCAAGTCAGTTAAGCTCTGGTAAAACCTAAGGTGGTTAGGCTCTGGTAAAATAGTTTCCCTTAAGGGTAAACCTTGTTAAGAAGAAGAAAGGGGCTGGGCATGATAGTGCATGCCTGTAGTCCCAGCTACTTGCCAGGCTGAGGTTGGAGGATTGCTTGAGCCCAGGAGTTTGAGACTGCAGCGAGCTATAATTATACCTGTCAATTGCCATTGCACTCCAGCCTGGGTAACATAATGTGACTCTGTCTCTAAATCTTAAAATAGGCCGAATGCACCAGCTCACACCTGTAATCCCAGCACTTTGGGAAACTGAGGCAGAAAGATTGCTTGAGCCCAAGAGTTTGAAACCAGCCTGGGCAACATAGGGAGGTGCTGTCTCTACAAAAAAATACAAAAATTAGCCAGGCATCGTGGTGTGTGCCTGTAGTCCCAGTTACTCAGGAGGCTGAGGCGGGAGGATCTGTGAACCCAGGAGGTTATAGTTGCATTGAGCCATGATTGCACCACTGCACTCCAGAATAAGACCATGTCTCAGAAAAGGTAAAATAAAATTAAAAAAAGAAGAAGAACAAAGGGCTTTGGGTGGTTTTTCTTTTTCTTTCTTTTTTTTTTTTTTTTTCCCGACCTGGAGTCTTGTTCTGTCATCCAGGCTGTAGTGCAGTGGTGCAATCTTGGCTCACTGCAACGTCCACCTCCCAGGTTCAAGCAATTCTCCTGCCTCAGCCTCCCAAGTAGCTGGGATTACAGGATCCCTCTACCGGGCTCAGTTAATTTTTGTATTTTTAGTAGAGACAGGGTTTCACCATGTTGTTGGCCAGGCTGGTCTCGAACTCCTGATCTTGTGATCTGCCTGCCTTGGCCTCCCAAAGTGCTGGGATTATAGATGTGAACCACCACACCTGGCCGGTGTTTTTCGAAATGGCTACTTTCCCATCTCCCTGCCAGAAGTACCTGGGAATATTATATACTACTTAATGGTTAGGCTTTTGTTCCCAGAGCTCCCCAAGCACACGCACTGTACTGTCACTTTTCCAGTCCCTCCTGCAGTATGGTCAAGCACAGAGCTGGCCACCAGCAGGCCCTCAGGAAATGCATGTTGGTGCCCAGTTGCTCAATCTGGTGACCATTCACTGGGGCCCTCAAGGTGGAGTCAGATAATGCTCAGGAGCTAAGGAGATCAAGCAGTCTGCAACAGTAGGAGGTGGTCAGGTCCTCTGCGGTGGGCTTTGATTTAGGAGACAGTCCTCTTCTTCCTCTGTCCCTTAGGTCCACAGTTTTATGTGTAAGCAAGATGGAGGCTGACCTGTCTGGCTTTAATATTGATGTCCCCCGCTGGGACCAGCGCACCTTCCTGGGGAGAGTGAAGCACTTCCTGAACATCACGGACCCCCGCACTGTCTTCGTATCCGAGCGGGAGCTCGACTGGGCCAAGGTGATGGTGGAGAAGAGCAGGTGAGTGGTCAGGGGAAGGGGCTAGAGGCAGTAGAGTGACATTGATGGGGTTCTCTTGGGAGGGGGTGGAAACTGAAGGTGAACAAATAGGCATATCTTGGGGCTGGGGGCTGGGAGAAACAAGAGCAGGGAGACTGGGAGACATTGATCAGGCAGGATGGTGACTCCCTGCTGTCCTTGGGTGGCAGGATGGGGATTGTGCCCCCGGGCACCCAAGTGGAGCAGCTGCTGTATGCCAAGAAGCTTTATGACTCGGCCTTCCACCCTGACACTGGGGAGAAGATGAACATCATTGGGCGCATGTCCTTCCAGCTCCCTGGCGGCATGATCATCACAGGCTTTATGCTCCAGTTCTACAGGTAGGACCTGGGGGCAGGGCCATGGGAGGTACATCTGCCTGGATCTGCTAGCCAGGAAGCCAGACTATGATAACAATAATAGTCCTCTTGATTGGTCACTTACCAGATAATCAGGCACTACGCTACGTTCTTTGCATGTATTGCTTCATTTAACCCTCTCAGCAACCCTACCCTATAGGTACTGTTATCATTTCCATTTTACGATGACGAACTAGAGTTCTAGAGAGGCTGAGGAACTTGTCCAAGTTTAAACAGGCAGGAAATATGGGTGCCTGGATTTTAACTGAGGCAGTCCTCTGTAGAACCCTCAACAAAAAAGCTACCCCAATTCCCTCTTTACAAAGTACTTATTCCACAATGATTTTAATTATGTAACACCTAAATAAAACAATAGGAAGCCCTTTTCTTAGCTTGGTTGGGGAGAGAAGAGACTGGCTCTGTAGCTGCTGGATGTGTGACTCTTCTTCCCACCTCTTCCTTCCTCCCCTGTGTTTCCAACCCCATTCATTGGTTGGTTCAGCTATTGAGCTGGGCTTTGGGCTGGGTGTTGGGAATATGAAGACTTCAGTAACTCCCCATCCCCCACCCCCACCCCATCAATGAGCTCTCAGTTTTGTTGAGGAGATCAAGAAGTAAACAGTTACAGTACAGCTTGGTAAGTGGTAGGTTGGAGGAAGAACATGGGATTGTGGGAGCAGGGAGCAGGGAGTGACTTACTCTGTCTCAGGAGGGGCAGGGGAAGGGTCAGGAAAGTTCCAAGGAGGAAGTGATCTCTCAGCGGAGCAGGATTCAGCCATGTATAGAAGGAGGAGGAGGAGATATTTGAGGCAGAGGGCCCAGCATGCACAAAAGCCCAGGTGCATAAAACAGTATGGGAACAGGCTGAGCATTGTGGCTCATGCTTGTAATCCCAGCACTTTGGGAAGTCAAGACAGGTGGATCATCTGAGATCAGGAGTTCAAGACCAGCCTGACCAATATAGTAAAACCCCATCTCTACTAAAAATAAAAAAATTAGCCAGGCATGGTGGTACACGCCTGTGGTCCTAGCTACTTGGGGGACTGAGACAGGAGAATTGCTTAAACCCAGGAGGCGGAGGTTGCAGTGAGCCGAGATCGCACCACTGCACTCCAGCCTGTGTGGCAGAGCGAGACTCTGTCTCAAAAGAAAAAAACAGTATGGGAACAGTGTGGGGACCTGCAGATCATGTGCTTTGACTGGCATACCCTCAGGACTCCCTGCCATGTGACTTCTCTCTGCCTCTCCTGGCCTCCCTCACTGGTAGGACGATGCCGGCGGTGATCTTCTGGCAGTGGGTGAACCAGTCCTTCAATGCCTTAGTCAACTATACCAACAGGAATGCGGCTTCCCCCACATCAATCAGGTAGGAGACCTGAGCCCCAGGCTGTCCTTGTGCCCCTCCACGAACAGCCTTTCTAAAGGGTTCTGGGCTGTCAGTTCTCCCTGGGTAGCGCCTACACTGAGCAGGTAACCAAGTTACCCTTTCCCAGGGTTTTGAAGTATTTTCTCAGGCCAAGTACGAGTGGAGCTTCTTCTTAGACCAATTCCAAATTTGTTCATTCATTCATTCTACAAATATTTCTTCTTGAGTGTGTGTTATGTGCTGGGGATGTGCATGGTTCTAGGTGCTGGGATACATTGTTAAGATGTGTGGTTGGGCTGGGGCGCAGTGGCTCATGCCTGTAACCCTAGCACCTTGGGAGGCCAAGGCAGGCTGATTGCCTAAGATCAGTCTCAAAAAACACCAACCAAACAAACAAAAACACCCAGAAAACCAGAGTTGCAAGGCAGGGAACAGCAGAGGTCTGTGTAGTTAGGCCACTTAGAGCAGTCTCTTCTGTGGAGATGACATTTCAGCTGTGTCCTGAAGGATGAGGGTTGAACCACCTATGAGCCCAGGGAACACCTCCCGACATAGGGAGCAGCCGTGTGCAGAGGCTCCGAGGCAGGAAGCACTGAAAGAAGGGTAAGGGGGCTGGGGCACTGTGAGCAGCAGGGAGAGGGTCACAAGATAAGGCTGGGGACATTCTGTGTGGTTTTCAGGCGTGAAGCCAGCCAACTTTCTCCTTCAAGCCCGTGGTCTGGCCCTCAGCCGGCAGGGCTCCCCACTCCCAAGCATCTCTCTCCTCCCCCAGGCAGATGGCCCTTTCTTACTTCACAGCCACAACCACTGCTGTGGCCACGGCAGTGGGCATGAACATGTTGACAAAGGTACGGTCTGGGGCTGCTGCAGCAGAGTGGCCACGAGGGGGCAGCAGAGTTCTAGGAAAAACATCCTTCCCCCGGAGACAGTTCCCCAGGCTGGGTGAATTGGGGCTGGGTGAATTGGGGCTGGGTGAATTGGGGCTGGGTGAATTGGGGATGGCTAGAGCCTCGCCTGCCAAGTGATGAGAAATACACCAGGGCCGTCCCCAGGTTGGTTCCTCTTGGGCCTTTGAGGGCGTGTCGGGTTCCCAGACTGGGTGTCTGGATGTGTGGCAGTAGCAAGGTCTAATTTTCTTTTTTGTGTTGTAGTCCTTCAGCCCCCTCCCCTCCCATCTTCCAGCGCATCTGAACAACTACCGTTCCCTTCCCCCAACAGAGAGCGCCACCTTTGGTGGGCCGTTGGGTGCCCTTTGCTGCAGTGGCTGCTGCTAACTGTGTCAATATCCCCATGATGCGACAGCAGTGAGTACAGGCCCTTTTTTCTCCCTACAAACCATGAGATTTGCAGAAAAGGGTCAAGAAACCAAGGCAGTGGGTGGCTTCTGGGGACTTCAGTGGGCATGGGGAGGGCTGCTGGGCTGAGCCTCTGAAGAGCACTGGGATTGGCTGTTCCCGTGGTGATGGCCCCAGGAGGTAGGTGACTTCGGGTTAGGCTGTGTGTTGAGTGCCGTGGGAGTCCTCTCCTGGGTGATATGGGATGGGAAACACCGGGTGGACCTGTGGAATTTTACGCTGGATCCTGTCCTTTTGGACCTGTGTTACAATTGCGAACTCCTACTTCCCAAGTCCTGGGGATGCCATACAGAATGAAATGTAGCAGGCTGAGGTGCTAAAGATAGCACAGAACCCAAGTGCGTTGAAAGAAACCAGAGGAGTAGACAGAAGTTTTCCAGGCACCCAGCTGTAAGTTTGTCAGCAGAAAAGGTAAAGGATAAACTCACTGTGTCTCTCAGTTCTTATTTCTTGACTAGAGAAATTTCTCTGTTATGAGGTTTTAATGATATAATATATGTAAAACACTCAACACAGCACCTGGAACATAATGGATGCTACATAAGTGTTCACTGCTGTTTCTACCATTGGCACCATCACCAATATCTACAAGCCACATTTTCTTGGGAATACCAGCAAATGGAAAATGTTCACACTAGCCTTTGTACAAGGAGCACTACCAGAATAGTCATGCACAGATACTGCCCTGCTCATCTTCCCTTTCCCATCCAGTGGCCCTTTCCTGACAGGAGAATGAGTCCCAGCCACCTACCAGAGCTTGGGTTGAGTGCTGTCAAGAACTGGCCTGAGAAGAATAGCTGGAGTGTGCTGGGTGCACTGGCTGATGCCTGTAATCCCAGCACTTTGGGAGGCCAAGGCGGGAGGATCACTTGAGGCCAGGAGTTTGAGACCAGCTTGACCAACATGGTGAAATCCCATCTCTACTAAAAATATAAAAATTAGTCAGGCATGGTAACACACACCTGTAATCCTAGCTACTGGGGAGGCTGAGGCAGGAAAATCACATGAACCCAGGAGGTGGAGGTTACAGTGAGCCAAGATCACGCCACTAAACTCCAGCCTGTGTGACAGAGTGAGACTCTGTCTCAAAAAAAAAAAAAAAAAAAAGAATAGCTAGGATAGTTACTGCTTGTGGAGTGACCACTCTGTGTCACGTGCTGGACCAAGCTCTTCACAGCCATGATCTCATTTAATGCTCACCAGGTTCTGTAAAGTGGGTGCGAGGATGATCTTTATTTTGCAGATAAGCACAACTGAGGTTTTGGGAGAGTTAAAGACTGTGCTTAAGGTCACACACTTCCCCTGCAGTTTCCGGGCTCAACCCAGACAGTCCGGGCCCAGGGCCAGTGCTCTTAGCCACTGCCCTAGATCACTCCTAAGATACTGCTCGTTGGAGTGCAGAAGGAAGGTCAAAGACCCAGGCTACAGGAGGTGGCTTCCTGGAGCTTAAGTGGCCTGGCCTTGGTCCCCTGGAATGTTATGTGGCTGGCAGGCTTCCATCACCCCTTTCCCAAGTCCAGCAACTCCTATCTGTGTTTAGGGAGCTCATCCAGGGAATCTGCGTGAAGGACAGGAATCAAAATGAGATTGGTCATTCCCGGGTAAGCAGAGGCCTCCCTTTGGGGTGGGAGGAGGGAATTCCCTCTCAGACCCTGTCCCCTCCTTAGTGGTCATAGTGGGCACCGTTATAGGATTGATAAGCCCTCTCTGACTCCATCATCACTTCCTATCACATTTTCCCATGTTTCTCTGTGTAGAACAGGCCCCTTCTGTCCTTTCTCCATCATTTCTGGTCCATAAAAGTATGGCTAGGTGGGAGGGGATTAAGTGAGGGCACTCAGCCCCTGGAGGGTCCATCCCTTCCCCTTTGCCATCTCAGACTTGGCTGTGACTCTGACTCGGCCCCCTGGTGCAGCCCATGTACCCTGAATACATCATTCCTGACAACTTACTCTTTTCTGCCCTCAGAGAGCTGCAGCCATAGGCATCACCCAAGTAGTTATTTCTCGGATCACCATGGCAGCTCCTGGCATGAGTAAGATGGGAAGCCCTTCCATCCTGGGGAACTCTGCAACAGGGTGGAGATCTCAGCCACACTCAACTTTTGGATGGGAGGTGGGGCCCACCCTCTACAGCCATGCTTCTCAAACTGCTTTGCTTGATTACTGCAAGCCTAGAAGAACCACACTAGTTCCCAGAACATCAGCTCAGCCAAGGTATGGGGTAGAAAGTTATTTTCACTTTACTAATGCTTGTCAAACACTTGTGCTTAATGTATAGACACAGTGTGGGGTGCTTGGAAGAGTGGTAGAGAAAATAAATTCCCTGCCTTGGTTTGCTTCCAGGAGGGAGCGTATTGCAAAATTTGTTCATGTGACTGTACAAATACATTTTTGAGTTTTGAGAAGGAGGCTTTGGACTTAGTAGCACATATTCTCCTGTTACTGCAAGTGTGCAGGTTGAGAAGCTTGGAAGCACTGTTCTTCGGGGACTTTGGGGAGAGAGGTTGGGGGTGGCCATGCCTACTTAGTCTTCTGTTCTGCCTATTGGTAAGTATTTTCTGGAGCTTCTGTGGAAGGAGAGGGAATCACTTGGTTCCTGGTCTGACTGCAGAAGGAGTCCTGGGGAGAGCCTCCCAGCCCTCTCCTCAGCTTTTCCCCCATCTTTTCCAGTCTTGCTGCCAGTTATCATGGAAAGACTTGAGAAATTGCACTTCATGCAGGTATGTAGGGTTTGCCTTGGCATTTTCCCTGCCCAGAGTGCCTTCAGCCATATCTGTCCCTGGGGACGCCTGACCCCTCAACCCATCCTTTCCTTTAGTTACCATTCTGTCATCTCACCCAAGCCCCTGCCAGTCCCCACTGGCCTCCTGTTTAGACATCACGGCCAGCTTCCTGACCTGGTCTGCAAAGAACAAGGCCTTCTCTGATGGCCAGGGGGTCCTTGCCTGTGGGTTTTTCTGGCTGGGTGATCCATGGCAGAGCAGGCACGGGGTTCACCTGAAGGTATAGAAGTCCCATGTGGATCTGTCTTTTATTTGTTTTTATACAGAAAGTCAAGGTCCTGCACGCCCCGTTACAGGTCATGCTGTGTGGGTGCTTGTAAGTATCATGTTTTGATGGTTTGGGTTCTGTGTGGCTGGAGCACTTAAGATGTATCTTCCTGGCTGGCCCATGTTGGAGAACATGTACTCCTTTACCTGGCTTTAAAAGTGGTCAAGCTCAGCTTTCCATCTGAAAGCTCTCGCCGCCTCTTTCATGAGGGCATCAGGCTGGCTAGACTTTATGTACATGTCCATGTGGAAAGTCCAGTGCTGAGGTGCCCTCCCATCCCAGGGTCTCTCCTTTGATCTTTTTTTTTTTTTCCCACTTCCCGGGGGGCGGGGGGGTGTCTCTTTCTCTTGCCCAGGCTGGAGTGCAGTAGTGCAATCTTGGCTCACTGCAACCTTGGCCTCCTGGGTACATGCAATTCTCCTGCCTCAGCCTCCCGAGTAGCTGGGAGTACAGACATGTGCCACCTTGCCCGGCTAATTTTTGTATTTTTAGTGGAGATGAGGTTTCACCATGTTGGTCAGGCTAGTCTTGAACTCCTGAGCTCAGGTGATCCACCAGCCTCAGCCTCCCAAAGTGCTGGGATTACAGGTGTGAGCCACCATGCTCGGCCTTTTGCTTTTTTTTCGGATGGAGTCTCGCTCTGTCGCTCAGGCTGGAGTACAGTGGTGTGATCTCGGCTCACTACAACCTCCGTCTCCCAGGTTCAAGTGATTCTTCTGCATCAGACTCCTGAGTAGCTGGGACTACAGGTGCATACCACCACACCTGGCTAATTTTTGTATTTTTAGTAGAGACGGAGTTTCACCATGTTGGCCAGGCTGGTCTCAATCTCTCAACCTCATGATCTGCCCACCTCGGCCTCCCAAAATGCTGGGTTTACAGGCGTGAGCCACCACATCTGGTAATCTGGAGCAGTTTTACAGAAGAGACAAGAATGAGGAGACATAGCTTTGGCTGGGACTGTCATGTGTCCCAGCCCCACACAGAAGGGAAATGGCACCAGTCACACAGTGTTCTTAGGTGTCTGCCATTAACTGGAGATGTCCTGGCATTCACCATGCTTTTCAGGGCCATGGGACTGATGACAGTAACACTAACAACTAACATGGACTGTATATTTTCTCTGTGTCCCCACTGAACTAATGCTTCACATCTATAATTTCACTTAATTCTCCCAGCCTAGCTACTATTATCATCTCCTTTTACAAATGAAGAAACTGAGGCTGGCCAGGTGTGGTGGCTCATGCCTATAATCCCAGCACTTTGGAAGGCTGAGGCCGACGATCACATAGTCAGGAGTTCGAGACCAGCCTGACCAACATGACAAAACCCCATTTCTACTAAAAATACAAAAATTAGCCAGGTGTGGTGACATGCGCCTGTAATCCCAACTACTTGGGAAGCTGAGGCAGGAGAATCGCTTGAACCCAGGAGGCAGAGGTTGCAGTGAGCTGATATCATGCCATCGCACTCCAGCCTGGGCAATGAGAGCAAGACTCCATCTCAAAAAAAAAAAAAAAAAAAAAAAAAAAAGAAAAGAAAAAGAAACTAAGGCTTAGACAGAGTAAGAAACTTGCCCAAGGGTATATATCTGGTAACTGCTGGTGCTGAGATTTGATCAACAGTCTAACATTATGCTATACCAACTTTTGCTAATTGAGTAGTTGCCATGGGCTGGGTGCTTTTACGCAGATATCTCATTGAATCCTCACAGTAGCCCTGCAAAGTAGTCACTGCAAAGTGGGTTCCAGTAGCCTTAAAAAGTAGGTTGTCCTTCCTCTGTGTCTCTGAGGTAACTTACCCAAGATGGCACAGCCAGTAAGTGGTAAAACTGGGATACCAACCCAGGTCTGTCAGGGTCCCACATCCTTGAAGGCCTTGCCTCCCAAACCCTGGTCCTGGCCAGCATCATTGGCATCATCTGATAACTTGTTAGAAGTAAAGACTCTGAAGCCCTTCCTCAGACCCCCTCAGTTGGCACCTGCATTTTAACAAGCTCCTGAAGTTATATGCACAGTGAATCTGGAGAAATTGCCTTTCACTGTGCTCTGACAGCCTAGGTGTTCCACCAATAAAGAAGTAGGTCTCAGAATCCATAGACTCACAACTCTCCCTCCATGTCCCTCCTCCCTTTCCATGCTGTTCCTCTTCCTCCAAGTGGCTCCACTTCCTCCTCATCACTCCTCCCCCTCCATGTCCCTCTTCCCTTTGCATGCTGTTCCTCTTCCTCCAAGTGGCTCCTTTTCCTCCTCGTCACCCCTCCCCGCTCCATGTTGCTCCTCCTTGTTGAAGTTGTTCCTCTCACTCCAAGTAGTTTCTTTCCTCCAAGTACCTCCTCCCACTCCAACTCGCTCTTCTCCCTCCATGCTCTTCCTCCTCCAAGTCATTCCTCCCCCTCCCAGTCATTCCTCCTCCTCCAAGTCGCTCTTCCCCCTCCATGTTGTTTCTCCTCCTCCAAGTTGCTCCCCTCCCTCCTTGTTGCTTCTTCCCCTTCATGTCATTCCTCCCCCTCTAAGTTGCTCTTCCTCCTCCATGTCCCCCCTCCCCCTCCATGTCCTTCCTCTCCCTCCTCATCGCTCCTCCCCCTCCATGTCTCTCCTCCCCTTCCATGTCCCTCCTCCCCCTCCATGTCCCTCCTCTCCCTCATTGCTCCTCTCCCTCCATGCCCCTCCTCCCCTTCCATATCCCTCCTCTCCCTCCATGTCCCTCCTTCCCCTCCATGTCCCTCCTCCCCCTCCATGTCCCTCCTCCCCCTCCATGTCCCTCCTTTCCCTCCTCATCGCTCTTTCCCCTCCATGTCCCTCCTCTCCCTCCTCATCGCTCTTTCCCCTCCATGTCCCTCCTCTCCCTCTTTATCGTTCCTCCCCCTCCATGTCCCTCCTCCCCCTCCATGTCCCTCCTCTCCCTCCATGTCCCTCCTCCCCTTCCATGTGCCTCCCCTTCCATGTCCTTCCTCTCCCTCCTCATCACTCCTCCCCCTCCATGTCCCTCCTCCCCCTCCATGTCCCTCCTCTCCCTCCTCATCGCTCCTTCCCCTCCATGTCCCTCCTTTCCCTCCTCGTTGCTCCTCCCCACTTCATGTCCCTCTCCCTCCTTATGGCGCCTCTCCCCTCCATGCCAGGAGTGCTTGTGCTCCTTAGGCCTGCTGCTCACAGTCCCTGGTTACTTCATTGACTTCTTCCTCTGCTTGAACAATGGAGTAGGGGTGGGAATGAGTGATGGGGGTGGGGAGGGCACTGGTTTTATTCCCCTGCGAGAATGAGTATCCTCGAAGGGTTGGAGGGAGAGGATATAGGGCCAGCTGGGAAGGCAGGCCAGGTGCCCGGCATTGCTCCCTTCCCCAGGGGATGGAGGATGGGTGGGCCTGTGGGGAGATGTCCCCTAATGCTTTGGTTTCTCCTTTCTTGCAGCCTCATCTTCATGGTGCCAGTGGCGTGTGGGCTCTTCCCACAAATATGGTATCTGCTGTTCATTCCTCACTTGGTTTCATTGACCACCCTGCCAGTGCTTTCCCTGACCTGCCAGCTGTCCAGAAGGAGACAAGGAAGGGGCAGGAAGGGCAGCACCTATCCAAGGACAAGTGTCCATCAGCTTAAAGGCTGGGCCTCTTAACCCTGGTGAACTTTGGCACAACAGATTGTGAGGGGCAGGAATAAGGTTGCTCCCTCCCAGTGGAGCAAGGGCTGCCTTGGAGAGAAGGTTGGGGAGCAACAAGAGACTTTCTCTTCCTGCTGGCTGGATTATTAGGAAGCTCTATTCCAGCTGGATATTTTTTTTTTTTTGACATGGAGTTCCACTCTTGTCGCCCAGGCTAGAGTGCAGTGGTGTGTGAGCTACCACACCTGGCTGGTCTTTAACATTAATAAGGGGCCAGGCACGGTGGCTCATGCCTGTAATCCCAACACGTTGGGAGGCCGAGGTGGGCGGATCACCTGAGGTCAGGAGTTCGAGACCAGCCTGCCCAACATGGAGAAAACCTGTCTCTACTGAAAATATAAAATTAGCCGGGCATGGTGGTGCATACCTCTAATCCCAGCTACTCAGGAGGCGGAGGCAGGAGAATCTCTTGAACCTGGGAGGCGGAGGTTGCGGTGAGCTGAGATCATGCCATTGCACTCCAGTCTGGGCAACAAGAGTGAAACTCCATCTCAAAAAATAAATAAGGGGACGGGCAGAGGGCTGATGACCCAAGCCCCTTTATTTCCCTTGTGTGTCCAAGAAGGGGAAGCAGGGAGAAAGGATGATGGAAAAGGGAAGGGATGCGTCAGACTGGGGATTTGGGGGTGACTGGCCCCAGGAGACAAGTGTAGCTTGAATATATACCCGGACGATGCCAGTCTTCCCTTCCTCAGTACTCTAGTTCAATACTAGTTCTGTGGTCGTCTGCTAGACATCTCTTGTCTCCTAAGCACTGCATCTGTAGTCCTGTGGAGAAGATGGAATTTTAAAGGAAGAACCTTAGCCCAAGGAGAATGCAGTCAGGCCTGAGTAATGGTAAAGCAGCACATTGTGGCGTACCGAGGCCAATAATAATCCTAGCTAGAAAAATCAGGAGGGCTTCTTAGAGGTGATATTTGAGTCGGGCTTCATCTGAGAGTAGCTTACAGTTTGTCCTAGGTGGCATGCTCATAATCCCCTTCTGCTCTCTTTTCAGTGAATTGCCGGTTTCCTATCTGGAACCAGAGCTCCAAGACACCATCAAGGCCAAGTATGGAGAACTTGTGCCTTATGTCTACTTCAATAAGGGTCTCTAAATAACCCACATCAGCAAGGACCAGTCTGTTCACATATTCACTAGCTCCTCCTTAGCTATGCGTACACTTGTGCCCTCCTTCCTCTTTGCCAGCAAGGCCTGAAGGCCAGGGTAGATTGGGGGGTGGGACAATGAATGCCTCATGCTTACACCCTGGCACCTGGTTGACTGGACTCCAGGGGGAAAAAGTGAAAAAGGGAAGCAAAGGCCAACATCTTCAAGCTGCTTCCTCCTTAGCCCCTGTCCCCTGTAGACCAGAAGCTGAGGCCCGTTCCAGCCAGGACTGGGGAAAAGCCTTTGGTTCAAAAGGAAGTTTCTACACCTGTTTCTTTTTTTTTTTGGGACGGAGTTTCACTCTTGTTACCCAGGCTGGAGTGCAATGGCACGATCTCGGCTCACCGCAACCTCCGCCTCCTGGGTTCAGGCAATTCTCCTGCCTCAGCCTCCTGAGTAGCTGGGATTACAGGCACGTGCCACCATGCCCAGCTAATTTTTTGCATTTTTAGTAGAGACGGGGTTTCACCGTGCTGACCAGGATGGTCTCGATCTCTTGACCTCGTGATCCACCCGCCTCGGCCTCCCAAAGTGCTGGGATTACAGGCTTGAGCCACCGCGCCCGGCTACACCTGTTTCTTCTTCACTTCCTCCTCCTCTCCCGAGCAATGGAACCTTTTACCCAGGCAATTTTAGCTGAATACAGGAAAAAGAAGGGGGGAAGGACTCTGTCCCCTTGGGGCCCATCTCCACCCTTCCTCATTGCCTCCTTGTCTGATAGTTGTGGGTTTTTTTTTAGCCAGAGTCTCTCTTTGTTGCCCAGGCTGGAATGCAGTGGTGCGATCTTGGCTTACTGCAACCTCTGCCACTCGGGTTCAAGCAGTTCTCCTGCCTCAGCCTTCCAAATAGCTGGGATTACAGGTGCCCACCACCACACCTGGGTAATTTTTGTATTTTTAGTAGAGACAGGGGTTCACCATATTGGCCAGGTTGGTCTCTAACCCCCAACCTCATGTGATCTGCCCACCTTGGCCTCCCAAAGTATTGGGATTACAGGCGTGAGCCACTGCACCCGACAGGGACAGCTTCTTTGGGACAGCTGCTAACCTTGAAATGACCAGACACCCAGGAGTGATCAGTGCTGAAAAGGAGACCATGCAAGGCAGCAGAGTTACATGGTTCTTCAAATCATGTCTGAATCTATTCTTAGAATCTTCTCTGTAATAAGGGAAGTGCTCTTTCCCTACTGCCACATATCTCTATTTTAAAAGATAAGTCCATTAACTGTGAGTAAAAATGATGTACATAGTCAGTTAACCACACACTTTAATGGGTATAATTTCCTGGCTACCTCCCTTCCTCAGCCCATTAGGTTAAACACCAAAGAAAGACTGGTGTGTACCGAATAGGAAAGGGAAGTTTTAATTGGACCCTTCTAAGAGGAAATTAACCAGGACCAAAGAGCCTTAAAGGACATTCGGCAAAGCACAGCCACTTCCCCTCCCCAGCTTGGCTGCCCTAGGTGGTTTCTCAAGCTCCCTGGGGGATTGTGGCTCATCTGGAATCAATGTGTGTATAAGTTTTGTCTGGTAGGATTGCTGACTCTGTCCAAAAGATACCACTGTGAACTGAATAAATTTCTTGAGAGAGCACACAGGCACACACGCATACAAACTGTAAACTAAGTTAATAAAGCCTGAATGGAAAGCAGGATCTGGTCTTTGACCTGGGCATGTCAGATGGTATCACAACTATTATATCAGGGGAACTTGTCTGCTCCCTGGAGGCTGTTGTTTATTTCCCTCATTAAAGGGGACGAATCCACCTGTCTCCACGGGAAGCTCCAGAGATCTCCCAGAATGGGAGCTGTGTTGCCCTAGAGCAAGAGTTGGCAAGCCATGACTCACGGGGCCAAATCCACCTGCTACCTGTTTTTATGCAACTGGGAGCTAAGAATGTTTTTACATTTTTAAAGAGTCGTAAAAAGGAATAACAGGAATGACAGAGACCCTACCTACATGGCATGCAAAGACTAAAATATTTACTGTCTGATCCTTGACACAAAAAGTCCCCTGCCCTGAAGCAGTGGTTCTTAAGAAGATGCACTGGCTGGGTGCAATAGCTCATGCCTGTAATCCCCACACTTTGGAAGGCTGAGGCAGGCAGGTCGCCTGAGTTCAGGAGTTCAACACCAGCCTGGCCAACATGGTGAAACCCCATCTCTACTGAAGACACAAAAAATTAGCCAGGTGTGGTGGTGGGTGCCTGTAATCCCAGTTACTTGGGGCTGAGACTGGAGAATCACTTGAACCCGGGAGGCGGAGGTTGTGGTAAACCGAGATTGCGCCACTGCACTCCAACCTGGGCGACAGAGTGAGACTGTGTCTCAAACAAAATGCCAAAACATGCATCAGAATCAGTTTGCAGTCTTGTTAAAGCACAGATTGCAGGTTCATCACCAGATTTCTAATTCTGCCGGTCTGGACTGGGGCCTGAGAACATGCATTTCTAGTCATTACCTGGTGACGCTGATTCTGTTGGTCTCAGGACCATACTTGGAGGAGCACTGCTCTAGGGGGAAAGGGCCTCCCCAAGACCAAGGAATTGGCTGCAATTTGGTTTTTCCTCCCATTTAAAAAAGTTAAAATATAACTCACATGCCATAAACTTAGTCCTTTTCAAGTATATATAATTCAGTGGCTTTTAATGTGGTCACAAAGTTGTACAACCATCACCACTATCTAATTCCAGAATTATTATTTTGAGATAGGATCTCACTCTTACCCAGGTTGGAGTGCAGTGGTGCAATCACTGCTCACTGCAGCCTCAACTTCCTGGTCTCAAGTGATCCTCCTCCTCAACCTCTGTGGTAGCCAGGACTACAGGGTAGTTTGATTTTTTTTTTTTTTTTTTTTGAGACGGAGTTTCGCTCTTGTTACCCAGGCTGGAGTGCAATGGCGCGATCTTGGCTCACCGCAACCTCCGCCTCCTGGGTTCAGGCAACTCTCCTGCCTCAGCCTCCTGAGTAGCTGGGACTACAGGCACGCGCCACCATGCCCAGCTAATTTTTTGTATTTTTAGTAGAGACGGGGTTTCACCTTGTTGACCAGGATGGTCTTGATCTCTTGACCTCGTGATCCACCCGCCTCGGCCTCCCAAAGTGCTGGGATTACAGGCTTGAGCCACCGCGCCCGGCCTGGTAGTTTGATTTTTTAATGGGGTGTCACTGTGTTGCCCAGGCTAGCCTTGAACTAATGGCCTCAAGCGATCCTCCTACATTGGCCTTCCAAAGTATTGGGATTACAGTCATGAGCCACTTCATCTGGCCTCAGAGAACATTTTTGTTAGCCCTAAAAGAGCCCCTATACCCATTGGCAGTCCACATTCTCACTACCCACCAGCCCCTCACAATTCACTTCCTGTCTTTAGATATTTGTCTATTCTGTACATTTCATGTAAGTGGAGTAATGCAGTATGTGGCCCTCTGTGTCTGGCTCCTTAGGATAATGTTCAAGATTCATCTATGTTGTAGCATATGCAATTTGATTTTAGCTGATATCTGGGCAGAAAAGCCTGTGTGTTTGAGGTAGCTTCCTTAGGACAGGAGACCTGGCTTTATTTCCAAAAGCAAATAGGAAAAGAGAAACATTACCAGAGCAAGCAGAGCTTGGGAACAACTCCTGACTGATGTTCTTGCAGAATCAACGTTTTCCCTTCCGTCCCTAGCTCCTCAAGCCTCCTGCCTTTTCTGTTCTCTTATAGACAACTGCTGTTTTGGAAAAGACTAGAAGGTATGTGGTGGCTATAGTGTTCAGGGACATTCTAAAAAGTGGTCAAACTGCATCTCAGTTTCATTTTGCAACATCTCTCTTTGAGTTGGCTCCTGTGGGATGTTGCATGAGAGGCAGTTAAGGTTACTAAGAGGCCTTGGTGTGGGAAGTGCTAATCCAGACTGCGCAGGGGTTAGTGTTTGTCCTATCCAATAGCTTAGTTTGAGCTTTCAGGTAAAAGGAGAAAGAGAAGTTGGAGCAAAATCCCCTGTGTTTGCCAAATTGAATTGGGGTTTCTTATTTTATTTTATTTTTTTTTTTTGAGACAGAATCTTGCTCTGTTGCCAGGCACCGGGCTGGAGTGCAGTGGCGTAATCTCGGCTCACTGCAGTCTCCACCTCCTGGGTTCAAGCAGTTCTCCTGCCTCAGCCTCCCAAGTAGCTGGGACTACAGGCGCGTGCCATCACGCCCAGCTAATTTTTGTATTTTTTAGTAGAGACGGGGTTTCACCATGTTGGCCAGGATGGGCTCAATCTCTTCGTGATCCGCCCGCCTGAGCCTCCCAGAGTACTGGGATTACAGGCATGAGCCCCTGCGCCCAGCTGGAGTTTCTTATTTTTGGGAGAAAGAAGGTCTCACTCTCTTGGCCAGGCTGTAGTACAATAGTATGATCATGACTCACTGCTGCCTCAGCCTCCTGGAGTCAAGTGATTCTTCTGCTTCAGCCTCCTGAGTAGATGGGACTACAGGTGTGTGCCACCATGCCCGACTAATTTTTAAATTTTTTGTAGACAGAGGGCCTCACAATATTTCCCGGGTTGGTCTTGATCTCTTGACCTCAAGCAATCCTCCCGCCTTGGCCTCCCAAAGTGTTCGGATTACAGGCATAATCCGAAAGAAACCCCACCTGGGGTTTCTTATTGATGATGAAAACTAGCCTTTATATGGAAGACTTATAACTTTTTGAGGCCAGGATTGAGAGACCTTGTGCCATGAAAATAATTTGGTCCTTGCCTAGTACTCAATTTTTACTTCTCCCATAAGGAGAATAAGGATGGATAAGAATAAAGATGGATAAAATTTCTGAGAAACGAGAGATTGGGGCCAGGCGCAGTGACTCATGCCTGTAATCCCAGCACTTTGGGAGGCTGAGGCAGGCAGATCACCTGAGGTTGTGAGTTAAGGACCAGCCTGACCCACATGGAGAAACCCCGTCTCTGTTAAAAAAAAAATACAAAATTAGGCTGGGCGTGGTGGCTCACCCCTGTAATCCCAGCACTTTGGGAGGCCAAGGTGGGCGGATCACGAGGTCAGGAGTTCGAGACCAGCCTGACCAACATGGCGAAACCCTGTCTCTACTAAAAAATACAAAAATCAGCCGGGAGTGGTGGTGTGTGCCTATAATCCCAGCTACTCGGGAGTTTGAGGCAGGAGAATTGCTTGAACCTGGGAGGCGGAGGCTGTAGTGAGCTACGATCACACCACTGCACTCCAGCCTAGGCAACAGAGAGACTCCGTTTCAAAAAAAAAAAGAAAAAGAAGAAAGAGATTGGCAGAAATA